ACATCCATCAGAGAATGCGGGAGCAGAATATCTCTGGTGAGTCCGGCTCTGTGTTTCCTCCCATAGTGTTTGATGATTGTGACGTGAATATCTGTTATATCAAACTTGTTCCACTGAATGTATGGAAATGACTTAAGCTATGGCTTTTCAAATAGTTTTCACTGTTTCACATAGTTTATAACTGTTGAATTACAGTAATCTTTAGCATCAGACTAGTGAAGACCATGAATGTTAATAATGAAATATACAATATGCATATTACAAATGGTAATGTCTGATGCAGCCAAACTTTGCTTCTGACAAACCATTTACATTACGTTTATGAGCCATTTATGACACTTGGAAGTGATGAGCCATCAATATTTAATATCACTTTAGCGCAGTTGGGAAATAGTTATCAACTGAAATTTTATTAGACCAAATTAAGCAGTTGATAGCTACTGTTTGGTGTTTTATGTTCTCTTCTGTGTAAATTATGATTTGGCTTTGGCAAATTTGTACAGCTCATTCCCAATAACACATAATTTTGTTATTATTATTATTATTATTATTATTATTATTAATTTATGGCTGCTTTTAATGGAAATAGTCATACAAACACAGAAAACACTTCAAGTCACCATGAAATCGAAACGAAAAAAATCAAATAAATACATTTAAAAAAAATTATTTATCTATGCACATTATTTATTGATTCATTCATTCACTCATTCATGCATGCATGCATGCATGCATGCATGCCCTTGAAATCTTTAATCAAAATAATTCTTCAATCTTCAATACTTCCCCTCACTCTTACAATGTCATCTCTTCTCTGATTATGTGTGCACCAGCAACCTGTCACTCATATGATATTACAGCAGTTAGCAAATAACAATGATCCAACGAATCAATCAGTTCTTGGAGACAATCAAATCCCGCCCCTACATTTTTCTTGTTCGAGAAACCGTTTCACTCGGATATACATCAAAGTATGGAAAATACAAGATGATTGCAATTTGCTTTCCGCCAACTTTAATTTTCTGTATGGAAACATATTTCTGCCACAAAGTAAAAAATTAAAAAAAATTGAGAGATGAATTATAATGTAAGAAATACATTTACATTACCATATATAAAGACACACTTACAAGAAACAAAAGTCACAATTACCTCTTTCACTTTCTAGAAGAAACAGGCTTCTATACTTTTGTTCCACAGCAGGAACATTGTCAGCGTGAAAGGACATTGCAGGCCTGCTATTGCTTATGCATGTGGTGTGAAAAAGTCCTCTGGCTTTTCTGACCAGAGCAAGATAAATGTGAACGTCTATGACCAAATCAGAAGGGTTATGAATCAATGATTTTCAGGGATGTTGTTTCCACACCAAACAAGCTGTCAATTTTCTCATAGAGAGAAAACAACAGAGGTTGATCATTCAATTATAACAAGCTCAGAAAGGTGATATCAGCTTTCTGAATTTTTGTGTTGGGGATTTTTTTCTCACTTTAAGACTTTTAAACTGTTTTACCTTTGTACATAAAATGAAGTGCATGCCATGCTCTTCTTACTAAAGAAGTGCAATTCTAGATGGTTATAACTTCCCATACCCCTGTCTGGTTGTGCATGATTCTTCTTTACTATGTACAGTGAATGATCATTGTGTGTAAACATTGCACCTTTCCATTTCTTGAGGAAATGTAGTTGACTATAAGTATACTTAGCAGAATGCGTATACTAAGTACACTACGTTTTCTTAAGGGAAGTTACGTCACAAACCTGGCTGTGTCTTTCATTTGAAAGAGCACAATGATAGTCTAATAATAGAAGATTGTAATGTGGCAGGTGCAGGGTCTTTACATGTAAAGCCCTAATCTTTTAAATTATAATTTTTCATTCTTGTCTGAAGAAGAACTTTATTGAGAGCACTTAAAGCTTTGTTTTTCCTTTTTGTACCATACTTTCAATTTTCAGACTTTCAAACTTTGGTCCTTTCATTGTGTGCAAAGTTGATAAATGAATCGTCTTTGTTAGCCTATATTGTTTATTTTTAATAAAATTTTCAGATGTATGTTTGATTTCTCCAGTCTTCAAGTTTTGCCCCATTCATTTTTCCTTCTATCCTGACAAGTGTTCCAGTCCCTGCTGCAGAGAAACACCCCCATAAATATTACTGTAGGAATGCTGTTATTTGGATGGTGAGCTGTATTGGAATTCCGCCAGAAATATAGTTTGGCGTTGAGGCTAAATAATTCAATTTTAGTTTCATCTGCCTCAGAATCTTAAAGGTGCATTTTGACAAAGCTCAGTCGTGACTACATGTGGCCTTTGAGGAGTGGCTTTTTTCTTCCAACCCTCCCATACAAGCCACATTTGTGGAGAATTTGTGATATTGTTGCCACATGCATACAATGACACCTCTTTAGTCCTATTAGGATGGTAATAGTTTCTCATGTGAACATCTGTAAAAATACATTTACATGGCACCTCAGTGATAAAACTCATGGATTCGGTTGGTTATTTATTCACAGTGGAGAAGGGAGTTCTGCGATCCTACAAACCCGGGAATGCACTGCTCACGTGGTCTGTCACATAATTGTCTGCTGTAAATAAAATGTCATATGCTTGGAATAATGAGAATTAATTCATATTTAATAATATCCTATTATTTATAATATCCGTTTATTATTTTATTATTTAAATATCGGATTTAAAAATCTGAAAAAAAGACGTGCTATAGTTGAAATGGTTTTCTGTCTTGCGTTTTATCTCAAAATAATGGATGTCATTAAAACAATGTGGAGATTCGCAGAAATTACTTAATGTAACCTCTTATTTACATAAGGTAAACATATAGCTGCTTGGTTTATATTTTTATGTGTATAATTGTATATAATACCTATTTTCAAATTGTATTGCATACCTGTTGCTGCCATAATAATGACCCATTTCAAATGTTTATGTGCTTTTTCTTCTCTTTCTTCTTTTTGTTTCTATAACAGCTCCCACTCGCTGTGGTGGAGCAGTTATGAAATAGTGTTCTTGTATACTTTACAGCATTTCAGTAATAAATATTACAGCAAAGTGCAACAATTACCGTACGGTGTTCCGCAGTGGTCAAAAAGTATTTAAACTGTGAATTTTGAATCAATTTCTTCTCGTAAACTCAGAAATGTGGATTCGGACAGCAATTAAATTACCACACAACCTTGATGTTTGTCAAAAACAGTAGGTAATTTGGCCAGGGTTTTTTCGCGGGTGGTGGGAGAAAAACACCAACATTCTGGATTCGGGCGGCAATAAAATCACAGACTAACCCCTGTAAATGTTGAAAATAGCTTAGGCCCCCATGAGAAACAATTACAGTTCGAATGGGGCTTTTGTCATAAATTCCTGCAACTGCTTCAGAGTCCAGTTTCCTCCTGCCTCTTTCATCCAGTTTGGAGTGATGTCTTGATCCAGGGAGGGTGTTGTACCAAATACATTTCACTTCTTAATAATAGACTTCACTGTGCTTCTAGGCATTTTTAAAGCCTTATAATTTTTTTTTGCATCCATCTCCTGACTTGTGCCTTTCCACAACTTCATCCCAGAGATGTTTTGACAAGGTGCCTTGCCACTCATAGTTGATTGTTTGCTTCAGTTGCACTACCAAGGACTGAAATGCTCCAGGAAAGCTCTTTTCATGCTGAGCTAATCAAAATGACCACAGTTGATCACAGTTGAAAGTCAAATGGCTTTGTGTGCCATTGAGAAAGTGATTGGCTGCACCTGATTGAGTTTACAAGTTAGTTTTAGGAGGGGGGGTGATCCTTTTTCCAACTCAGTGATTTTTTTTTTTTTATGTTTTACATAATGACATGTTGGTGTCATATTTTTCATTTTGGTGTTATAAGTTGCACTGAGTAAATACAGCTGGATAAAAAAAAAGAAAAGTGTCCGTCTTCATTTCAGGCTGCAAAGCAACAAAAGTTGATTATTTTAAAGGGCGGTGATTCTTTTACCCACTGAACATTTAAACAGACCCATTAATTGATACAGCACCATTAAATGAGAAGTTGTGCATTATTATGCCTGATTATTACGATGTCATTTCACTGCTTATTTGCGTCATTTACCTTTGTTACCATTACCTTTTCTCCCTCTACCTCTCTTTGCTCCACTCTATATGGAATGAACACATTCACTTCAGATAACTCTCAGATATTAAATTACAGCCATGGAAATTAAGACGTGTGTACATGGTAGATGACGTGTGTACATTATCAGCAATTATTCAATTTCAAATTGCATAATTGTTCTGTTTAGAGGTAAAAGTAAAATGTCATTAACTGAGGATTTGATATCATTTAGAAATAGTACTTATGATGAATGTGAAAAGGATAGCAGTCTCTTTGCAAATGGCAGGACTGATAATGGGGATGTTTGGATAAGAGAAGGGCCTTTTTCTAATCAGAATTCCTAAAATGAGCTGTAATTGTTGTCTAAGCCCAGCCATGGCTGATTGGCTTATTCTTATTTGCTAGCAGGGGCAGATTGATTCATTAGTGCCATGCAGCACTTAAGAAGTGCAGTTACTGAAATTAATGTGGATGTTTTCATTTGCAAGGTCGCATGAAATAAAAGCATTGAGATAAACTAATAAACCACAAACATACTGTAGTGTTTAATACAATTTTTCAAACTTGATGCTTATGCTCTCTGAAGTAATGAGTTATTATAAAGCACAAATGAAGAAGGTTTGTTTTAAATATAAATAATCAAATCAACAACACTTTAGAGGCTTAGAATTTTAAGAGCTTAATTACTAATGTATATACAGCACTTTTTATCTCCAGTTTGACACATTTGACGTGCAGTCAAATGAGACAATCGCAACTTAGAATGAATGTCAACAAGTAAATTAAAGCGCAAAGAACCAGATGCATGGTTCCTGCAAACTTATATGTACATGTGTTGAATATATTTCAGCATTTTTTGATAATGCCCTTTACTTGTTTGTCTGGGTTTATCTGTGTTAGTTCTACAGGTGTTTCAGAGCTCTTTTCAACTGTGACAAACCCCAGAGAGGTTCCAGTCTGAAAAGTTCTTCAAAGGTAACTAAACCTGTTCGGCCTGGACGGGGCACAGACAACTTTACTTTTGTGGTTGCTTCAGTGGGACCCACAGCGGTGCTCAAACAGGCAAACCCAGCGGAGGATGGCCCTATGTCAAAAGATAATGCCAAACCTGCAGTGGTCTCCCTTGTGGCCCATTATAACGGATGAGAGTTATTCTGCTTCAGAAATGGTGACCCTTGAAGAAACTTTTCACACAAAATGAGGGAAATGCAGTGTGAGATTTGAAGGATTTTACAGGCAAATTGCGTATAAGTACTATAACAAATGGGAAAATTAAAGAATCCTGAGGGAGACTGATTTTGTGGAGTTTCTTTTTGTGCTCTTTATTTGTCTTCTATCCAAAAACAGAGTGTTATATTCTTGCAGTAATGTGTAGCTAGCAGTTCTTAATTTTCTTTGAAATGTTCTCAGATTTTGCAGGTGTTGAGATGACTATTTTTTAAAGATGTGTCCAAAAAGTCTGCTGAGAAAAAAAGACTATTCTTAGAAGAGTAAACCACAGCTCTCAAGCGTGTCTTCGAAAAACACTCTTTTTTGTAATAGTCCTGAAGAGAAAGCAACATTTGTATTAATGTACAGCTTGGTCATTTTTGAATGCTATTAAAACAAAAAGGTTTTTCTACATCTATTCTTTTATTTTTCCGTAAGGGAAGTTGGGTATGACTTTTTTCAATGGCTTTTAAATCTTGTAAGCACTGTGGCTTGTTAATGTAAGTTACAGTTTCAAAGTTACGTTTTTTTTATGATCAAGCCTAATTATAATTATGTATAAGTCTAAAAATATTTGGACACCTGAAGATATTATCACAAGTATTTCCTAATTCATGCTCCCATTTATTTTGTATTACATTAAACGTCATTGTAGCATGTTCATTTACTAATGCAGAAATACTGTAGTCGCATTTTTTTGCATTTGCAAATTTTATGTTTGATTCAATAATGCATAGTAATAAATATCAGAATAATGCAAAAAGAGAACTCCACAGTTACACCAGTAAATTTGCCTTGCTACTGGCAGTATATCAATATAAAGGACTACAGGCAGGTAAAGAAATATAGAAGATGCAAATAAAGTGCAAATTCTGGAAATCATCAACTGCAGCTTCAGACTGTTAAATACTTTTCATTAAAATTCTACCATACTTGTGCAATTAATACTAATAAGAGGAATAAGAACAATAACAACAACAATAATAATTATAATGCTGTGAAAGAAACTAATTTAGTAAAACAAATGTTCACATCATTCAATTATACATTTCAATACATCACTTGTCCGCAATGTTGTATAGACAATGAAAACTTACTCCTATGACCTTTGTGTTTACAGTGAATCATTTGATTGTTTAGTTGTTTTAAAATGTATTATTTTACAATATTTGTCCTTGTAAAGTGTGAAAATATAGTTTGATCAATAAAGGTCTTTTGAAAGCAGTGTGGCACATTTCACATAAAGTATGATAAATTTGTATTTGTTGGCCTTCCACAACACAACCTTTGGCTTCAGTCAACAGTCAAAATTCTAGTGAGTTTCATTCATCCCTTAAATGTGAAGAAGATGATTGTGTGATTTGACAGAATGGCAGTGTTTGTCAGTCAGGCAAAAGTTGAGGCAGACTTTCTACAGAATATTAGTGTAACAACGTTCGTAGTCATGGGAAGGAGGCGGGAACCGGTGAACATTTAAAGAGAACTTTAATAAAATAAACAAACACAAAATGAAAGTAAAGCAGCAGTCCCTCGCAAACGACTGCCGCACACAAAACACAAAATAAAATCCAGGCCTGGTATTCTCTCCCCCAACACTGTCATAACTCCTACTTTTATCCTTCCGGAGCTCCTCCGTGGGACTCGAGACCGGTGAGTGGTGCAGGTGGCGCTCATCATCATCAATTACTCCACCAGCCTCGCTCCGTTCCCACGGCTCTCGGCCCCGCCCCCACTCGTCAAAATTAGGTTTATATAGACCTTATATAGTCGTAACGCCTCCTCTTATCCTTCCGGAGCTCCTCCGTGGGACTCGAGACCGGTGAGATGTGCAGGTGTCGTTTATCATCATCAATTACTCCACCGGCCTCGCTCTGTTCCCACGGCACTCGGCCCCGCCCCCACTCGTCACATACCCCCTCGGGGTACTCCCGAGACTGCGCTCTACTCCCCCCCCTCCCCCCTCCGGGGGAGCTGATCACAGCAGCCGTGGCATACCTGGGGATAAGGATAGACAGACGAGGCAAGAGAAACGGAGATGGAAGGATGAGGAGAGACAGATATGAGAGAGGAAAACAAAAAAAATTCGGTCCGTTTCCCAGACACACTGCAGCTTGGTCCTCAAACGGCTGAGAGGCTCTCACTCGCGGTGCCATGCGATGGTACTGGACATCGTTGGTGGATGGCCCACCGCTCCCCCGCCTCCTGGCGGATGGCGATGGCTCCTCCTGTTGAGGGCAGCCGGCAGCGAGTCCCCCGCTTGGTCCTCAACCAGCTGAGAGGCTCTCGCTCGTGGTGCCATGCGATGGTACTGGACATCTTTGGTGGACAGCCCGACACTCCTCCACCTCCTGGCGGACGGCGATGGCTCCTCCTGTTGAGGGCAGTTGGCAGCGAGTCCCCCGTTCCATGCTCCTTCCCAATCATGGAGGACAGCAGCAGGCTCCGGCCTCCTGGCGAATGGCGCCGACTCCTCCGCTCCCTCTCGGACGGCAGCCACCCCTCCTCGACCCAGGAGCGCGGCCGCGAGCTTTCAGTCCCATCTCATCTTCTGTAGTTCCAGCACCACCGCCTCGGGCAGCCACCGGCGGTCTCTCCGCTTGTTCCTGCTGCCCGATCTCAGCACCGTGATCCCCCTCAGCAGTGAGGGCTCTCTGACAGTGTGTCCCTCCTTCCTCCTGGGTTTCGGCACCAATGTAACAAAGTTCGTAGTCACGGGAAGAAGGAGGCGGGAACCGGTGAACATTTAAAGAGAACTTTAATAAAATAAACAAACACAAAATGAAAGTAAAGTGGCAGCCCCTCACGGACGACTGCCGCACACAAAACACAAAATAAAATCCATGCCTGGTCCTCTCTCCCCCAACAGTGTCATAACTCCTACTTTTATCCTTCCGGAGCTCCTCCGTGGGACTCGAGACCGGTGAGTGGTGCAGGTGGCGCTCATCATCATCAATTACTCCACCAGCCTCGCTCCGTTCCCACGGCTCTCGGCCCCGCCCCCACTTGTCAAAATTAGGTTTATATAGACCTTAGAAATAAACTTTCTAATAAACTCAAAATTAAACTTAATTTTGCAGTTAACTTCAAACTGCTCAAAAACAGAAGACAATTCAACTCTGGTAAATTTGGCATTTTATAAAATATACTCTAAACAAGTAAATAAACAGTCAGCAGGCAAATTGGGTATTTATGGTTACCCAAATGATGTCATCTCTCTAGAAGCCTTATTTTTCTCCAAGTTCAGATCCTGATATTCATGATGGGTCCCAGTTAATCACTTTTAAGCATTTCGTCAAATGTCTTTTTAAGAAGGACAAGACACTGTTGATGTCAGACAGAATTAGTTGCAGAGAGTCTATCTCAGCATCTTGAAGCAGAAAATTGGTTACACAAGACAAATACCATCAAAGCTGTTTGGAATCCATGTGCCCAGACCAGCACTGGTGAAGTCACGGACACACTATCCCTAGGACATATTTAAGAAGCACTTACAAGTCTAGACTAATCAACTCCCAATTCATTACAGCCATTCCCGGTCTGTCCCTTATAATGGGGGATTGAACTAATTAACATTCAGTAAAATGATAAGAGGAGAATGCTACTTTTTCTTTCTGGGAAGCGGCTGGAAACGAGTCATAAGTATATTTTATACAGGTTGCATTCACTGCCAGCAATGATGAAGTACAGTCTGTCCCAGTGATAAATGGACTCAGTGATAAAAAGCCACAATGAAACACATGGAAGAACACATGAGCCATAACTGATTTTTCCTCCCTCAATCCCTTCTGCGAATGTCCTAATAAACTGAGCACTCAAACTGAGAAAGGTAAACCAGTAAAACATATAAAAATCAATTGATTTTACATTCTTCTCAGATACACTCCACAAATAAGTAAAGTGAGATGGAAGTGAAGTATTCATCTACAATTATATGCATAAATATCTTAATTAAATTGCACAAAAGCCATATCTGACATAATTTCTGGAGGCATGTCAAACCACATTTAGACTGCAGTGGTGGGAAGCACTATTGCTAAACAACAAAACCCTCTGTTGTTGCATATCATAAAAGTTGAATTCCTTTACAGCAACTCTGGACAGCAGTGGGAAGAGGTTAAAAGTGTGAAATGTAAAATTGTACATTTCATTAAAGTTAATTGATTACATTTACAATGAAATGTTGTTACATGTAAAAGTAATGTGTGGAAAATTGTGTTGGGGTTTGAGTACCAAGAAATTTTGGAGCACTTCATGCTTCCTTCTGCTGACCAGCTTTTTGAAGATGTTGATTTCATTTTCCAGCAGGATTTGGCACCTGCCCACACTGCCAAAAGTTGGTTAAATGACCATGGTGTTGGTGTGCTTGACTGGCCAGCAAACTCACCAGACCTGAACCCCATAGAGAATGGGCCCCTACCAAGTATTGATTACATGTACAGTAAATGAACATACTTTCCAGAAGGCCAACAATTCACTAAAACATTTTTTTATTGGTCTTATGAAGTATTCTAATTTGTTGAGATGGTGAATTGGTGGGTTTTTGTTAAATGTGTGCCAAAATCATCATAATTAATAGAACCAAAGACTTAAAATACTTCAGTCTGTGCGCATTAAGTTTATTTAATACACAAGTTTCACAAATTGAGTTGAATTACTGAAATAAATGAACTTTTCCATGACATTCTAATTTATTGAGATGCACCTGTATATGAGGAAGCAAGTCAAGTATTTGGAATTGATATTCCTTTTTTAATCTGTAGCTGTGACTGTGTACTGTGAGGGGCTAAAACACTTGGAACATAATTTAAAACAACACCAATTACACACTATAAAAGACTGTCCCACATTATAGGTGTCCTATATCAGATGAGGCTTCGGTGACTGTTGGACTCACAAAATAAGAAGGTGGTAATTCAAGACAGAATTTCTCCAATGGA